CATAAAATGGAAATAAATCATTTTCACTGGGCATATGCTTTTGTAATAGATACATTAATAATGACACGAATGAAGGCGGCTTTGAAGTTGTCTGCTTATACACTCCTTATTTCTCATATTCTGGAACCAAACTCAGGAAAGTCTCTTTACTGTGGATGGACTGTGCGTCTACATGTCCATCAGACAGCATACTCCAGCATGCATCATTGCAAAGAATTCTGGTGTGTACTCCTGACTCAGATGCAGTTTTTCCAACTTGGCTGGGCACCATTAGACTCTATGCTAAATGGATTGTTCAAAGGAGATCGTTCAAAAATCAGTCTATCATTAAGATGCAATCTCCAAGCCACCAACTGAACACCTTTGCCGTGTACCCTACTACTGAGAATCTCTGTATTGGTTCTAAAGTAAGACTAGTAACATTTTAGGGTGTGTCCATTATATTAATAAGGGCTTACAGTCAAATTGTTGATGCCTTCAGAAAATGCCCCTATTTGCCTCACGGTACCTTCTGAATCTTCCATCTACAAGAAAGAAATAGTTAATGTAATAATTCATGTAAATTCTTCCCTTTTCATACAAGTGTATTAACACATACAAATATAACATTAGGCTATAGCAGCACCCTAGAAAAGAACTAGTCAGTTGAACACTTTATTGTAATGTCAGGCAATGTTTGGATAAGGAGGTGAGGCTAAGAGAAGAGTGTGCAGAGTACTAGCATCAGCCTAGTTGGTAGCTCAGCTGCATCAGCCAACTCCACAGTCTCTGCTCCTATTGGAGAAACCAGATAGTTGAACACAAGTTCATGGCCTTGCCTTTGACCGCTCAGATGTTAAACAAACAAAGAACTCAACAGATGCAGCAGCAGCAGCAGTGCAGGCCAACAAGGAAGACAGAGACCAAGAAAATACTGTACCTAGTTGTTTAATAATTTCACATTAAGGGCACCCCACAAAAAAACTTATGCAGAAGCAAGCACTGATAAGGGAAAAGAAACCATCTGCACCACAGTACCTTTTATAAGCTTTGAGGGAGAGACGGGGAGCTGAAGAAAAGAGATGACTGCTGCAAGGGGAGGAAGGCTAAGTGTCAGAATGTCATGAGCAAGAGGTGAGCAGGAAAATGCCACAAAGGTTGAAGGTGGAGCTTGAGGAACTGCATAGGGGGAAAAGGGCATGCAAGTTCAACTAGAGGATGAGCCGACATGAGAGGAAGTATGGTGATGTGGACAGAATATAGGACTAGGACTGGAAAGACCTGGCTTCAAATTGCTGCTCAGTCATAAAGTTCTCTGGGTAGCCTCAAACCACTCAGTCTCTGTCACAGCTGTCATGAGGGTAAAATGGAACACTTCCCCCACAAAAAATGCACACACCCCTGTGGTCCTTAGCAAAAAGAGAGACCATTAATGTAAAGAAAGAACTCTCAATTACGCCAATAAATCTGACTGTGGAGAAAACTGAAATTCAGGTTTCTCTTGTTGGTTGATAGCTAAAATCTAGATGCCCCTAAAGAAGCCCTGAACAGATTTATCAAGGGTTAGATAACAGTTTTTAAGTACTAGTACATTACAAGACTGCTAAACACAAACTGCAGAATATGAAAATATCAGGAGGGGGGGGAGCACATGCATACGGAAAAAAACAATTGTTTCAACTTACTGCAACAACCATTACCTGCTCCAGTCTGTCCAGATCGTCCTCATCATACACTCTGATATCTAAAGCTGGCTTCATCCCTTTCTTTGATCCCAGTCCAGATGCCTGTCCCAAATCCATCGAACAAACATACTCTTCCCCATCTTCCTGCTTCTTCTTCCTTAAATTTGCAAAATTACTAAAAGCAAGTTTCTTTGGCTGAAAAATACAGACCAAAAAAACTGCTATGAAGTCAACAACCAGATAATTTATTTTTCTGATGACATATCTAAAATCTTTAAAAATCTATAATAAAGGCACCAAAACAATCAAGAATTCCTCAAACATATATTCTCACAGAAAGCTGGTTGGAAAAATTGGAGCAAAATTTCCACATAAAACAGAATATAGGATAAAAAAATTAATCTATCATGTTAATTAAGAAGATCCATATTTGACAATTTTGGTTTTGTGTGTGTGTGTAATTCACTGTTTGTATGTTTAGTTTTATTTGTACTTAAGCTCAAATATCTGAGCTTATGAGACTTCAAAAAAAAGTTTTTTTCCCCAAAGGAGGTTACAAAAAACATTTGATGAAAACTAATTTAAAAACCTGTATTTGTAAAATGAGGCTTGTAAAATGCCTACTGAGAGTTTTCTGCATGGGGTCATATCTGCCTCTGGCCTCCCAGGAGAAGCTACTTAAAGAGGTGGTTGCTGTTTTTCTTTCATGGGCAATGACTAACGCAGCAGATGGGCTACTAAAGATTTTGTTAAATAGGTTACTTACTTCTGTAAACTTGTTTTTATCTTTCAGTTTTCAGTGAAATTTGAACTACCTGACAAACCTTGCAAGCACCATTGAGACATTTTTTTAAAAATGCATTGCAAGAGGCCAACATAATTCATATCAGTAATTTTTATAGTGACTAATGTAAGCCGTTATCAAAGGCCTATAAAACACACTCTTAAGTGGCATGAATAACCTGCTATAGAAAGAAAGAAAGAAAGAAAGAAAGAAAGAAAGAAAGAAAGAAAGAAAAGTATAAAAAATAAAATAACTGTTAACATAGTTTTGTAGAGAGGATATGTGGCAATGACATATATAAGAATTACTGTCTATGCTTTACCATGCAGCACCTCTCTACGAAACCAGGAAAACTACCATCATAGAGTCATAAAACTGTAGCACTGGAAGGGACCACAAGGGTCACCTAGTCCAACCCCCTGAGATTGAGAGTCTTATTCTTTACCAGTTGAGCTACCCTCTGTTCAGAGATTAAATCAAGCCAAGCCAAGTTCTTTATCACTCAACTCATTTTCTATTAGCCCCTTAAAAACCACAACAATAGGAAGCAACACTCTTGATTAACATGGAAGTCTGTTCCATGTGATAGTAGTACTTCCAAGGCTCTGGCCGTACCTTCACTTTGGCTGTAGCTGTTAAAAGGACATAATCTGGAGATTCCATGGCTTCACGCTTTTGCTGCTGGGCCTCTTGACCAATCAGCAAATTAAAATGGGTTGCCAAGTGCCGCCTCAGGAGAGTCTTGTTGGGTGGGATGTTCAGCAGCTGAGCCATGGTCTCCACATTGAAACGAGGTTCCAAAACCTGCAGAGCAAAACCAGCATTTCAGAACCAAGATTTATATTACATTTTGATTAAGCAATTTCCCCAGATCTAAAGATCTGAACCACTAAGAAAGGTATGAAAGGCATGAGTTGGTGGGTGTTTTTTTGGGAGGGGGGTTGGGGGAACGACGATGACAAGGCCTAAATATTTACAAAATACCTATGACACAATTGCCATGACTTTTAGAAAACCCTACCTAGGAACAAACAAACAAAACTGGAAACAAAACCAGGCATGACATTTCTCTTAGATTATTTATTTACTGCCTGTGTCTCAAAAAGAAATATAAAATGCCACACACTCTTACCATTAGCCCTCCATGAACGCCACTCCCTCTCAAATTAGGAGCATATTCTGCAAGGTCAACTGACCGCAACCACTCCATCACCCGATGATTGGTCCACTGTGAAACCTCTGATGGTGTGATGTTATTCTACCAATAAGAACAACATTTAATTTAGAAACAATGCACTGCTTTTAGTTCTTTTTCTTTTAGTTCTGCAGTTAATCCAGCCTCCATTTTTCTTATTTCAATTGACCTTTCTGCCCCAAAATGCTCAGAGCCAAGCTAGATCAAGATCAGATGATCTGCAAAATGTGTCCCCCACCCCGGATTATGGGTTAAAGGTGTTGTACTGGCTGCTTATAGGCTACAAACCCCAAGTCAAGGTGTTGACTAACATACTATGCCTTAAATAATTTGGGAACCAGATTCCTGAAGGAGCACCCCCAGCCTGTCTATTAAGATCAGGAGGAGAAGTCCTCCTTGTGGGAATCCTGTTGATTCAGTCAGCAGTGGCCGAGAACAGGGCCTTAGTAGAGGTGGTGCTTGAGCTGCCAGCTCCCTCCCTCCTGGGGTACGACTGGTGTCTACGTTGTTCATCTTCTGGTGCCAATTGAGGACCTATTCACCCAAGCCTCTGTGCGCGGCGATATGGTATAACAACCCTGTTTCTGCAGTCCTAGGGTACAGAAATAGGTTTTTAAAAGCCCCCGGTGGCCTGAAAGATGCCGATGTAGCGTTACATATGTTGTGCTGGACTGACATAAATGATGTACCTAATAAAGTTACTATGGAACACCTTCATATAAGAGATGGGATTAATGTGAAACTGCAATTCATATCTGCGCTGAGCCATTCTTCCGCCTCCAAACCGAACAATCTTGTATTTATTTATTTAATTTTATTTTTTAATAATATTTTTATTGGGTTTTCTGCAAAGGTAACAAAATCACAACAAAACAAGAAAGCAAACACTAACAAATACTACAACAACAAACTAAAAATAAAGGGGGGGGAGAAGAAAAAAGTTTGCATCAAAACAATAAAATCCATAAAATGGAATTATCTGAATCCCATGACTTCCCTTCTCCCCTGGTTCCTTAAAATTCTTTTTAAACTACATATCATTTCTATTCCAAATTTCTATTTTAACATCAATTTTCTTGTACCATCTCTAAAACTACAAGTGTTTTTAAATTCCTGCCAAGGTATTTAAGATGTTTGCAATACTTTTGTAAATATATAATAAACATTTCTCATTCTTTTTAAAATTTTGAACAATCCTGTATTTAGGACTCATGTTTATCATATGCAGCGCTATTTTTTTTGCTGGAACTCACCATGAACGCCTCCCTTGTTTTCTTATAATGACAATGGCACCCATCAAAGAGATGCTGGAACTGAGTTCCGGTGAGTTCCAGCTAAAAAAGCCCTGATCATATGACTACACACACACACACACACACACACACACACACACACACGTGTGTGTGTGTGTGTGTGTGTGTGTGTGTGTGTGTGGAAAATAAGGGCTTGGGGCTTTTAAAATTCACCCACTTACTTTCCACATCTTTCAAATGGACTCTCCTGCATTAAATAAACTGTAAACAAATCTCCAGGCACAAAGACAATTAGAACAACATGGAGAAACCAGGAATTCCTCATGCAGTGGTCTAGTTCCCCACCTTCACTTTCACGCCTGGCAGTCCATAGAGGGCTTATCATGGGATATTAACAGCAGCAGCAGCAGCAGCAACCAAAGCGCTAATATCACATTCATATTTTCATAGAAATACTAGTGAGCAAATACTTTGCAGAAAGAAACACCAAAGGAGGCAAACTAAATGTTGATCTCAGTTCTAGAGGTTTAAAACATAATAAGGAATAAGGATATTAATCCATACAATGAAGCTGACAGTCAGTGATCAACGTATGGCCTGCTAAACAAAGGAAGGGATCAAGAGTTAAAGTAGGACAAAGTATTCTAGGCAAGAAAACAAAGGAAACACACAAGCACTGACTGTCAGAACAAACATTGCAATGAATCAATGAGATGTGTAAGTAGGTAAGTAAATAAGTAAGTAGAAGTGATCACCTCATCCGATGGTCTCCTGCGCAGACAGTTGGGCTCAAAGTTATTTATTCTTAGAACTTGAATGGCACGTTTGATGCTAAGGTGGTGGAGGACACTCACAACTTTCAAAGACAGTAAGTCATCCTGGGAACGGGACAGGACACATAAACGAGATCAAGATCAATAAATGAGACGAAGAAGACTGGAAGAGTCAGATACCAACATGAATGCTGTGCTTAGGAACCCCCTGTATAAGAACATTAAAACACTTCTGTTGTTTAGGCAAATTTAGACCAGCATCCTGTTCTCACAGTGGCCTACCAGAAGCCCAGCAGAAGCCTGCAAGCAGGACTGAAAGCAACAGAACTTTTCTCACTTGATATCCCACCAACTGGAATTGGTGCCTGCAACTGTAGAGGCAATATTCAGCTTCATTGCCTGGCACTGGGTTAGGAGGGGAAACGGCTCACTATCCATTTTCTCCACATGATGCCTAATCTAATACACCTCTATCATGTCATCCTCTTACTTGCCTTTTTAAAAACTCAAACAAGTAAGATTACACTATACTACTACTACTACTACTACTACTACTAATAATAATAATAATAATCTGTACCTCGTCCATCGGACTGGGCTGCCCCAGCCAATTGGCGGCTTCCCACAAATATAAAAGCATAATATAGAGGGCTGTGTTCAGATGTCTTCTAAAGGTTGTATAATTACTGGTCTCCTTAACATCTGATGGGAGGGCATTCCACAGAGTGGGCGCCACTACTGGGAAGGCCCTCTGCCTGGTTCACAGTGAGGAAACCACCAGAAGGCCTTTGGAGCTGGACCTCAGTGTCTGAGCTGAATTGTCAGGGTGGAGATGCTCTTTCAGGTATACAGGGCCGAGGCCATTTAGGGCTTTAAAGGTCAGCATCAACACTTTAAATTGTGCTCAGAAACGTACTGAGCCAATGTAGGTCTTTCAAGACCAGTGTTATGTGGTCTCAGCAGCTGCTCCCAGTCACCAGTCTAGCTGCTGCACTCTGGATTAGTTGTAGTAGCCCCACATACAGCGCACTGCAGTAGTCCAAGCAGAAGATAACTAGGGCATGCACCACTCTGGTGAGACAGTTTGCAGGCAGTTAGGGTCTCAGCCTGCATAACTGATGGAGCTGGTAGACAGCTGCCATGGACTCAGAATTGACCTGCACCTCCATGGACAGCTGTGAGCCCAAAATGACTCCCAGGCTGCGCACCTAGACCTTCAGGAGTACAGTTACTCCATTCAGGACCAGGATGTCCCTCAAACCGTCCACCCTGTCCCCCAGAAACAATACTTCTGTCTTGTCAAGATTCAACCTCAATCCGTTGACTGCCTTCCATCCTCCAACTGCCTCCAGACACTCCCACAGGACATTCACCACCTTCACTGGTTTCAATTTAAGAGAAAGGTAGAGCTGGGTATCATCCGCATACTGATGAACACCCAGCCCAAGCCCCCTGATTATCTTTCCCACCAGCTTCATATAGATGTTAAAAAGCATGGGAGAGAGGATGGAGCCCTGAGGCACCCCACAAGTGAGCACACTCTTCCCCCAACACCTCTTTTTGGACACGGCCCTTGAGGAAGGAGCGGAACCACTGCCTAACAATGCCCCCAGCTCCCAACCTACCTAGATGATTCAGGAGGATACCATGGCCAATGGTATCAAAAGCCACTGAGAGATCCAGCAGAACCAGGAAACATGTATGGATTAAGCAAATTCCCCCCATATAAACCTTCCTTGTGCACCTCTTCTCTTCAAAGAGTAGGAATTCTTTCACTATAGACAGTCCAGTTAAGAAAAAATCCTAGGATATGGTCATATTTATTTTTTACTTATTTCATTTTCTAATATGTACATCTTGCCTTTCTTCCATACGAAACCAAAGGTGGCATGCATGTGGTACCATTGACTGCCCATCCAGAAATGACCAGGACCCAGGCTTGCTCTAGCCTCGCTCATGTGGTGGGGCTTTTGTACCCTCAGAGCATACCCTGGTGAAAAGCCAGTGTTGTATGCTCTCGTTTTGAAAACATTTGTGAACAACCCCTGAAAAACTCCTATTGAAAACACACCTAATGCTGGTCACTTCTGTTCTTGTGCATGGAGCCCGCTGTTCAGACTGGTGCTCTGCCATGCGTGTATGGACAGAGGCATAACATGCTGCTTGCAGTCAGTTTATTCCAACAGTAGATTATATACAGCAGTTGAGCTGTGTCATTAAAAGACGATGTTACCACTACAATTAAAAGATGATTCTGTACACTCCCAGTACTGATTATGACTATTTATACAAAGACAATGATATTCATGGAACTATATATGCAGAAAAAAAATTGGACAGATACCTGTCCATGCAGCATATAATTCAAACTTTGACAGTGGAGAGAGAATGGAGGGAGGGAAGAAATAAGAGTTATGAGAGATGAATGTCAGCAAATGCAGCTACTTGTGCTTGGAGGTCACTGCAGGTGAGAATGATGATTGCAGGATTTGGCAAGGGACTTATGGAAAAGGTGGGCTTTGAAGAGAGGGGATGGATAGAACAGGTACCAACAGGGCACATTTCCACAAATGACAGGAAACATGGAAGAATGGGTGGAATTACTTTATGAGAGCAGGAGAACTTTTGATTCCTGAAGGAGTGGAGTTGGAAGAGTAAATGTTTTGGGGAGGCATATGGAGCGGAGGATTAGGATACACGTGTTTCAATGGAGAAGGAAGTCAAAATTATGGTACTGTGAATGATAAAAATGACAGGAAGAAAAGGACACTTGCTTACGATAGTCATATAATGAAGCATTCGGCCATCAACCTTTCCTTCATCGAACTGGGTCTTATACTGGGGCAGACCAATATCATCCAACCACCCTGAAAATAAAAAGATACAGTCACTATGCAATGATTTGTGGCAATCTGAAGGCAGGCTTTTTCAGTGGTGGCCCCAGTGCTGCGGAATGCCCTCCCTATTGGAATATGAGAGACCCCCATCTGTATTGGCATCCCAGCGGCTCTTGAAGACACACTTGCTCAATGCAATTGTTTTATGGTGTATTTTAAACATGCAAGAATTTAATAATTGATTTTCCACTTGTAAATTGCAAATTTGCTTAACTAAGTATTTCAGCTTTTTCTCGGACAGAATGTGTGTTACTTGGGTGCACAAGTACAATCTACCTTTTGTTTGTAACAGAAACTACCCACAAACCTGCCTAGAAGGAAACTTAAAACAAAGCATGCACAATGCTACCCTGTGAGCTGCAAAGTGCACACAAGGCTTCCTTGCAAGTGGCTGGGGGACGTACCCAGGCAAACTCTTCACTGCACGAGGGTGAAATGGCAAAAGAAATAAGAAGACATTACTTGTAACCCAGTTGTAATCCAGTTTTCCATGGTTGTTCTCTTCTTCTGATCCTAATGCCTGAAGAGCGAGCTGAAGTTTTTTCCGGTGCAATGGATGCTTTATTCCAAGTTCCTACATGTGGGACAAAAACCAGCTTGCATTTAAAAGACACTTGTATTTGCTGCTAAAACCTCAGTGGAGATAATGGGAAACCTTGTTGAGTATCTCTATAAAAATGAACTTTACGTGACAGTTGCCCATTTACTTCTATTCTTCCTGCAGACCACAATGGAGGGAAAAGAAAACTTCCCTCACCCCAAAGTGGGGGTTAACTGCCACCTCCCATCCTGGCCACAGCAAATGGCCCTTAGTGGGGCAACCACTACAGCCAAGGAATCTTCCTCTCCAACACCACAGGACTGCGCTGCTAATTTCTCTACCCAGTCTTGTTTGACTATTTTTTTTCTATAATAAAAATGTATTTTGTTTCCACTGAAAAGGAGCCTGAACGCCTTGTAGCTCCAGTGTTAGAAACTCAGCTACATAAGGGAGGCGTCAAGTGGCTTCTTAAACCAAGGTGGCCGTCACCAAACCAGAATGTCAGTTGCCATTTGGGGGCAAGACGGCTCTCAAGTCTTATTTTTCAAATGACGGACTGATTGTGATTACCGTATTTTTCGCTCGATAACACGCACCTGACCATAACACGCACATAGTTTTTAGAGGAGGAAAACAAGAAAAAAAAATTCTGAATGAAACAGTGGATGTATCATTTTTGTGCTTCATGCTGTGGCCACAGACATGTGATTTGACGGTGAGTTTGGGGTAGCCCAATGCAAAGATCCTGAGAATCCATGTGGATCTGTGCTTTGTAACCACGTTTTTGCACCATTGCAGCCCCAGGCAACAGTGGGTGCGTGATTTTTTTGGTGCAGGCTGTAGCCATGGACATGCTATGTGATCTGATGGTGAATTTGGGGTGACCCTATGCAAAGATCCTGAGGATCCATGTGGATCCGTGCTTTGTAACCACGTTTTGCACCATTGCAGCCCTGTTTTTGCATCAGATC